TTAAAATGAGTTCTTGTTTAATATATGGTATTATTGTATTTTTTATTTTTTAAAAACTATTATTTTTTTTTATTTTATATTATTATTATTTTTGTGTATCTACGTGTAATAATTTCGTTTTCTTTATTTTTTATTATTTATATTTGTTTATTTTATTTCTCTATTATTTTATTTTTTTGTTATTTTTCTATTATTTTTTTTTTTTTATTTTTCTATTATTTTTATAATTTATAGTATTGTGAGTTTAAATTTTATGACTACATTGTGTGACAATTACAAAATTTTATATTATGTATGTATTTTTAGCGTATTTTATTATATAGATTTTTTATATTTTTTTTCTATTAAAAAATATTTGTTATATATAATTTGTTTGAATTTTTTAATATTAGTTTTATTATTTTTTATTATTGTAGCGGATTGTTGGAAGTTTATATATTTATTAGATTTGAAATTTCTATTGTAAATTATAATTAATAAGTTTTTAGAAATTAAATGCCATTGCTGTTGCTTTTATTTTGAAAGAAAAAGATAGAGAAAAAGAAAAAAGAGAAAAATATACAAAATTTACAGTTTTGTACAAGGTTCAAAAGTCGAACGGTCTTTGACTGTTATTTTATATTAAAAACAAGTGTAATTAATGAAGAAAAAAATTTGAAAACATATAAATTCATATACAAAAAAATATAAAAAACTAAAATTAGAAGAAAAAAAATTTAATTGAATTAATTTTGCAGAAAAAGTAGATTTCAAGAAATATATAAAATTAAAACGTAATAATATATTAAAATGTAAATATATTATAAATATAAGAAATCCTAAATTTATATAACAAGAATATAAATTAATTTTAAAAAGGTATGCTCAAATATAACTGGAAAATAAAATAATGCTTCTGCTTTTAAGATTTGTCATCATTGAAGGATAAAGAACGCTTCTAAATATAAATATGAAACTCAGTCAGTTGATTAAATCCAATTTGTGCTAGGTGCTACGTATGATGTTGTATCTTTTCAATATTGGAAAGAAATAATGCTTCAAAATGCAATATTGATAATTATCAAATGCCTTACTATTATTTTTTGTCATTATTTGACTTCAAGTGTTTGTAAGTTTAAAGTAATTTTTACAAATAAAATCAAAATTGGATTAAGTTTACTAAAACTCTGCATCATTCTATTAGTGAAACAACGTCTGAGTGATTTTAGATTTTACTAGCTTGGTTAGTAAAGGCGATTTTGAACAGCCAAAAAGTGTCGCAATGAACAAATGATTAAAACAGTGACACAAATCGTATTGGATGTTCATCGAATAAAGACCAGAAAGCTTCCTAATCCTGTGGGTGTGGATGTAAACACTTAAACATTTTCAAAGCTCCATTATTACGTTTTAATAAAAAAACATACTGTAATTTTTTTGCAATTTGGGAGCTATATGCAAAATGTGTATCCACCACTACACTGCAAAGATGAAAAAATAATTGAAAAAGGTTGAAGAGCTCTCAATAAAAAGAAGACAACGCTTGTAGTATCATCTGGGAGATGATAGCTACAGCTTTACAGCTACAGCGCAAGAGAGATGGTACTGATTAAAAACTTTGGAAAGGGTCGTACAATAATTGGAGTATTACTATGTAACAGAACTGGATAAGTTAAATGTCGTAAATACCGAAAAACGTTCAAATTTGCGAAAACAAAAAAACATTTAATATTATCAAAATAATACGCTGATAGATACTTCGGTAGTCTCTATGGTTCAGATTACCAAAGGACTTAATATATTGTACCGATGTCATTCGCTCTGACCTATGATTTATCTGCTGAGTTTCATAGTTTTGGTTTCATACTTTACTAGGTTTTGATTTGTAAAAGCACTCTAGTAGAAATTTCTTCTTTTATTCTACACAACAAAATATAAGGTTCAAAGACCGATACAAAAAGTATATAATATATACTATATATGTACATCCTGCTTATTGCATTCTTTTTTATGATGCCTGCTGGACATCTAAAGAATTTACTGAATTTCCAAGCTGTTTTTTTAACTTCATGTTATATAATTTAATACCGTGAACTTATTAATTTAACTTTAACTTAATTATCAAATTATCACAACCAAAATAATTACATTCTACACCTTGTGAATTCACACAAATTAAAAAATTAATAATAAAATAAATAATAATTTTCATATAATAAAAAATTAATCATGCCAAAAATAGTTTAAAATATTTAAGTAATTAGTTTAATTTAATAAGTTTTAGTATATATATTTTACAAATTATTATTTATAATTATTTTTAGTACCAAATAGTATTAATTTTGAGACGAAATGGTTTTGTTAATTAATGAGATATGAGTATGCAACGTGATCATATAGAATGACACATTGAGATTGAGATAAAAATTCTGCGAAAATTTAATAGGAACTATAATAATTCGAAAACAAAAACTTTTACTTTTATTTTAGAGTTGCTAAAATATATTAATGTATCAAAAATAATTTAATTAAAATTAGTCTTAATAGTCTAATATTTAGTTAAGTGCTTAGAAATAAAATACCTTATTTAGCCACTTTTCATTATTTATTTTTATTATTAATTATTATTTAATCAAATGAATTTTTACACCGACTTGAAAATATTTTTATATTCGACTTTTTTTACTGCCAGATCTATTATCTATTGGGAAACATTTATTGGTTTAATTACATATTTTTAGACCTCAAGTATTGCGAATTAAAACCTGTCAAATTTGAACTGTCAATTTTTTTTACTGCCAGATCTATTATCTATTGGGAAACATTTATTGGTTTAATTACATATTTTTAGACCTCAAGTATTGCGAATTAAAACCTGTCAAATTTGAACTGGTGGTCAGTGTGTGACATGTAAAGCCAATGAACTTAATCAATGAACTTTTCAAATTGGACAGTTTGGTTTTCAACAGTTTGGTTTGGTATTCAACTTAATATTTCACTATATTTTTTTTCCAAAAAAAATAATTTTAAAATTTTTAATTATTATTTATTTTAATGTCAAATTAGCGTATGGGATCCTAATCTTGTACTAATTATGAGTGGTATAAGCGTATATTGTCTGTGGAAATTCTTATGTGCTAACTTACTATTGAAAATATATAGTCTTTTAGTAGTGTCAAATTCTACCCAAAGATATTGATAATATCAGAATTGAAATTTAAACTTCTGTTGAAGTAAGTTTTATATATAATATATAGCTATTACGATAATGAATGTGCTAGTATTTAGTTTTTATTTATTAAAATAACATTGGAATTAATTGCTATATTTACACAGTCAATTCTTTTAAAGTGTATAAGTCATATACCTATATATCTATACCATATATCTTTAAGTTGTATACACAGAAGTATTTAGGAACATTTAGAAAAAACTTAAATACACTTTTGTATAACATCATATTTATTAAAATAATAGAGATGTTCACGATCTTGAGCAAAAAGCTCGTTAATCGAATAACAAAGACATGTGTTTTGTTGTAGCCATTTTGCGCTTTTACGTGTTATTTAGATATCCATCTCTTTTCTCGAGATCTTGAATACCTTTAATATTTCACATAGCACTGAAAGGGATTGCAAGTATTATTTATTTATAGATTTGGGAATAGAATTGTATAATAAACTGCATATCATGGGTGAAAGAATGGGAGTTCAAAACCAAACATAAATCGTTTTTTTAATTTTATTAAATATTACTTTTCTAATATTTAAATAAATAATTACTTTTTATACTTTTTTTTTTTGAAATCTATTTAAAATTCTTTTAACTTTGTGTTAGGATTGTATTTTCATAATTACAATCTTTACGAAGTCTTGAAAAAGATCTCCCTTTTTTTAAAATTATATTAGACCTTTTCTGTTATAAGTCACAAAAGAACAACATAGAATAAGCACTACTTTTGATTACACTCTGGAAGAACCAGAGTGTATATATATATATATAAACCATATATAAACCAGCTAGGTTTATATATGCAAAACATGTAATAAAATTTAAAGTTAGTTTTGAAAATGAATAAAAATTCTTTGCAATAATGCATAAGAATATTTTATTTTTTACATGATTGTAAATAAAATTTTTATTTTCAGGCTTTTTCAATAATTGAGTATAATTTTTTAATTAAAAAGAATTAAAAAGAATAGAGTATTATTTCTCAAATATTAGTTGACAGTTAACTGAAAATTTTGTACGTACTTCCAAAAACCGTTCACAATAGACGATTTTTTAGTCTTGGCAACCACGCGATTTAAGCTGCTTATTAGTTAAGTGGTTTCAAAAAGTCTAAATAAGTCAGCAGTGTTGTTATTTCATATGTTATTTTTAAAATAAGCGGTTGTTCTTTTGTGATATGCATACAAAAGAAAACGCTTATTGTAAAAAATTCATAAAATTTTGAATACAGTTTAAAAATCTCTCTTTTTATATTCCAACATTAATTTTTTAATGAGATCAAAGTGTATAAAATGGAAATTTATAAAACGATCACTGAATTGTATCATAAATCTATTCTAGCTTTAAGATTTTGTAATTATTAATTCTATAAGATAAATAAATAAATGAATACCTTAAAATTTTTTTTAATATTTGTTTGAATATTAGTTAGTAATATTTTTGAGAAAACTCTTTTAAGTTTGAAATCTTAAAAAAGTATTTTTATGTATTAAATTCAATTAAAGTTGGGATCTCTTAAAAATATTGTAAAAGTTTTTGTTTCCATAGAAACTACTGGATTATTTTTATTTTTAATGTAAATGTTAAATTAAATTAAAAGTGAATATGAATCTTTCATGTTAATGATAACTTATAATTTAAATTAATAATAAAATTAAAAATACATAAAAAGCATTAAATTATAAAATACTCGTAAAATAAATAAAGGTAACTTAAGATAAAAAATTAAAGTTTAAATAATTTAAACAAAGAAATAAAAACTTAAAATAACATAAAATATTTAATCTTACCGTCATTATTTAAAATCTGTTGGGTCATCGTGTCAATGCCAAGTTTACGCATTCCATCTTTTATTTCCTCCAAATCAGTTTCGGTTGTGGTTTGGAAGGAATCCGAAACAAATTCTGATTCAGAAAGTTTTTTTCTTTCATCTTGGGTGGATTTTTGTTTGGAATTTGACTTTTTTGTTTGGGCATTTAATTTTGTGGTTGCAGCTGTAGTATCAACAGTTTTATCAGAAGTATCCTTTACAGGATTTGCTGTACTCTTTTCCGTATCTCTTGTTATCGTCGCATCTGTCTCTAGAGTTGTTTGTTTCGTTTTGACTTTTTTACGTATTTTATTATTAAGGCAATATTTTTTTATTTATTTATTGTTTATAGATGGATTTCGATTATATTTTTTTTATTTTAGTTTCCAGTGTTTTCATGTGTAATTTTTTAAGTGTTTTTTTAAATTTAAGTTTATTATTTTTATTTGGTATAATATCAATCGAATTTGAACCAAAACGAAATAAAAAAGCATATGAAAAAAAAAAACGAAAATAAATAATATATAATAATATATTAAAAATAAAAAATTGTGCTGTAAAATAGTTAAAAAATATTTAAATTAAATTATTTTCTTATAAGCTAGCAAAATTGTTTACACTGCTTTATAACAAAAAAAATTACAACAAATTTTCAGATTATATATTAGTTATGTGTGGGCACTTTCAACATTTATATAATATATATACGCCGTGCAGAGCACAATTCTAAAACGTAACGTTCAGCTCACTTTTTCAGTTGCGTTAATTTGTTGTACGTTTTTACACAGCAACCACAAAACGTAGCGTTTTATATATAGTATATTGAAAAAAAAAAATTACAGGACATCTGAGCTGTTAGTGTAATTAAAAATTGTGACAATACTATTTATTATGTGATAATAATAACAGCAATTGGAAAAACCGCTTCCATTTTTTAGGCAGAGGTCCATGCCTTAGAGGTATATGCGAGAGAGTGCTTATGCAGGGGCACCTGCGGCACCAAAATATGCATTCTTTCGGACAGCGAAGCAGATCTAAAATCTTTAGCAAACTCTTTATTCCAAAATCTTCATTCAAAGTTTGTCTGGGAATGCTTTCAACTTCTCAATACTCTAGCATCTTATGTGGGTACCGGGGCACGACGGGCAGAAGGGCAATGAAATAGCAGACTTCCTAGCATGTACTCCTTCCATAGGTCCAGAGGATTTCAGCAGGGTAACAAATAGCTTCACTAATAACATAGAGAGCCCAAACAGGCATGCGGCAGTGAAGAAAATTCATTCATCCTAAACACATCAAAGTTGATGCTATCATTAACCTTAGCAGAAACGATATTAAACTCTACACTGAACTTATAACAGGACACTGTAGTAGCAATTACCACATAAAGAGTTTAGGACAGGTAGAAAGTGATTCCTGTCGACTTTGTCATGAGGAGAAGGAAACATCAGAACATATTCTATGCAACTGTCCAGCGGTGGCAAGACATAGACTTGATTACCTTGGAAACGGGATCTTGGTGCCAAATCAAATAGGTAAAATTACGCCCACAGCAATTACCAGATTTATAAATAGACGCACAATAAATCTTATAGGTCGGGGTGCTTTTAAGCCTATTATTTAATAATAACGCAATCAATTGATTAGAAAACAATTAGTTCTTCGGATGAATAAAAATTTAACTTCTCTTTTAAGTTTTTTAATACAAAATAGGGATATCTGTCGAATAAGTATTTGTGTGCTTGCCTAGATCAAAACTTCATCACCATAAAGAATAAGACTAAATGTAGAAATGTATCTTCCAGACAAAGACAACATTAAAGAGACAACATGATCTTAGTCAGACTTAATATACTTTTTAAGACCAATATGAACTGAAAATACCTCGACACGTTTTTAGTTTTTCGAATGAAATATTCTCTAAACACTGGAAAAAAAAAACATTAACGCTGAAACAAAAATAAAAATTTAACTATACCAATGGGAATTGGTGAGAAGAAAAGGTACCTGGTAAACAAAATAGTCATCTGAATTCGCTTTCAGTTCTTAAAAAAAGCTAAATTTTTGAAAAATTGTATAATAGTGTTGGGATGGCCAAAATTTTCTTTTTTTATACCTTCGAACGCTTGCTAATTATGATTAAACAACGGATCCAGTAGTTGTTTACTTTATTTCGTTCCGAAAATTTCGATATGAAAAATGCACCGGCTAACTCCTTGTAATTCGTGAAACGAAAGCTGTCACGAAACAGCGGAGGTACTAAACATCGCTCAAGCTGTCTACTACATGACAGTTTGGAATCATTAAAAAATAACAGACTACGGAAAGATATTCGATATTTGAATGGATTAAGTCAACTTCAGTGAAAGCAAATCATTACGGCTAATGAATATGAATACAACACGAGAATATCCAATGCAAAGAATCATGCTCAAGCGCCGTTGGGCCTCTACAAACGATTTTAAAAACTACATTGACATTGTTTATCATAAAGATAAACAAACTTATCATGAAGATAAACAAAATTATCTTGAATAGTATGATTGGAAGAGAATTTGTCTATTATAAGTTGCTTCAGCATAATACGATGCTTAATTTGATTCTCTTGGACAAAGCAATCAAGAAACAGCAAACTTGTCAACAGAAAATGAGTTGAGTTACATTATGATAATGTCAGATCTTTGCTGATTCTGTATAATTTGATAGAACTTGGTTGGGAAGTATTAATATATTCGTCGTCTGATCACAATTTATTTCGGTCTTTTCAATACTCTCTTAAGGGTAAAAAATTATCCGAGGAAGAAACCGTAAAAATGCACTTTTAGAAGTTTTTCGCCACTAAACCACAGTATCGATGGTATCGATGGTATTAAAAAGCTTACCGAAAAATAGCAAGAGATCATAAATAGTTTTTTTATATCACGCAATATTATAAAAAAGTATGTATTTAATTAATTAAATCAATGTTAATATATGTTTAGCCTAGTCGATAAGAATATAATAAACTAAGATCATTATTGGATCATATTACTAAGTTCGAATGTTTTGATCGATGGTTATTATTTTTAAACTGTTATATTTTCTTTATAACAAAATACTTTATTTACAAAATTAATGTAAAGCAGTGCAAACAACTTTTTGTAGAAGTAATTAATTAATTCAAAATGTGAATAAATATAATAAAAAATCGAAAGATAAATAACAAAAAATATACAAAACTGACATGTGTAAATGACTATCACTGAAAACGTTTTATAATTTTGAGTGATGTAGCTTTTATCGAAATTTTTTGTTGAATTGTTTGATTATGTTTTGAATGATTATTGATAGATTGATTGATTAACCGATATGTTATTATATTGCGAATATAGTTTTATAAAATTTTTTATTTAAGATAAAAAAGAATATATTTTAAAAAAATACTTTTCCACATTTTCCATTTGAATTTTCAAAAAGAAGAAAAATTAAAAATATTAATTTAAACTTTATTTATTAATTAAAAATAAATATGAGAAAAGCAAAAATGTAGAGTAAAAACAAAAGTTATTTACTTTTTAAATACCTAAAGACAAGAGACTTCAAAACTTAAAAGTAGAAAAAGTATAACTAAAATATTTTAAAATCAAATAAAAATTATAGCTAAAGTGAGGTAAAGTAAAAAGTAGTCATATAGAGTAAAGTAGAAATATAAAGTTTTCAGGAAAATTGCGCTGACTACGAAAAGAAAAAGACAAGTCATAGCGAAGAGTATGGAAAAAACTTACCATCTTCACCGCTTGAGGCTTGTCCAACGCCATCAGCACCAAGTGTTCCCAGCTCGGCGGCTTGTATGATAAGTGAAACACGATAGAAGTAATTTCGCCAGAAATTCTCTTCAGTAATACTGAAAGTTGAATACATATATATAAATGATTATAAATTATTATTAGTAGTTTATAGGAGATTGGTACGACAGTGTTGAACTTACATTTTAGGTACGAGCTCAAATCTCATTTGTTCGAGCGCCTTATCCTCAGCCATTATGGCAATGGCAGTTGGATATGATGTATCATAGTTAAATTCAAAATCAACTCCAGCTGGTGGTGCGCGCACAAAGTTGCGGCGATCCTGTGCTAAGCCCAAAATTTCTTCTTTAATTTTTCCCTCATTGGCAAGACCTAACCAAGGTGCAGCGCCAGATTCATTACCAGCTTGACCTTTAATGAAAGCCTCTTGCTCTTTGTTGAAAGATTCAAGAATTGTCTATGTAGTGGATGTTATAAAAAAATATATTTTTATAAATACATTTAAGATTAAAATTATGTGACTTACATTATCCTTAACAGTTTCCTTAATTTTAGCTCCTGCTTTATTAATTGCTGAAGACAAGAATGAACCGAAGTGTTTGGCTTGTTGTGTGACTTTTGTGGTGACTAAAATTTTTTATATAATATATTAATTTTAATTAAATGTAAAAAAAATTTTAAATTTATTATAAAATATTTAGAAAATCACAAACTACAAATAAAAAAGGGCTAACTACTAAGAACTGCTACTTTTTTTTTGCTTTAAGATTTATTAGTACCCTGTCACTTTACTGCATTTTGACCTGCTTTTAATAATTATATTAATTTTAATATTTTTTTCTTTTATTTTTGTTACCAATTGTTGAAATTTTGTTTTGTGACACGTACTTTTTACATCTTCGCCCTTACCCTGTCCAATTTGACCTTCTTCGCCAGTGGGTGTGCCACCACCGGATGCAGGGTGCGAGTCAGCACCTTCTGTAGCGCTGTAATAACAATGATTAAAAAAAAAGAATATTAATATATTAGTAAAAATATATAAATGTATAAAAAGTGTTATAAAGGGAATGTAATAACAAGCAGGTTGATTTATATGCGAATATATAAATAATTTTAAACTAAAATTAAATACGTAAAATCATGCATTTTAATAGCATTTTACTGTGTATATATAATAAATGTATAAATACATGCAAAAGAAATTTACATACACTGAGAAAAATGTACTTTCATAGCGCAGATAGGAAAAAAATAGTGCAAATAAATGCATTTCTATACATTCAAGTCCTTCTGTTATTGTTTTTGTTTTAATTGTAATATTTTTATTTACATCAACAGTTTTGTTTATGTACAACGTGTACTACACTGAGAAAAAAAAAAGTTGTATGCAATGAACGAATGAAGTAGTATGATTAAATCTCAAAATGAATTTCGAATGAATGAATACAAATAAAATATTGAAATAAATATAGAAATGAATGTAGACTATAAAAGAGGAAAAGTACATAAAAGTACACTTGTTAAAAATCTTAAAGTAGAATAGGATAGAACACAAATCGATATTTTTTGCATGCATTTTTGCATGATCAGAGACAATTTAATTTAAATTAAATCTTAAATGATGCTAACAGTTAGAAAAATTCAATAAAAAGATTTATTTGAAATTTTAAGCTTCAGCCTTACGTACTTTTCACAAATTTTGTATTTGTTCAGCAATATGTAGTGAATTTATAAAAAGCTAAAAACAAATATAATTTTAAAAACTACAACCAAAACTATATATGACATCAAATAAAAATTTATTTAAATAAAAAAAAAATTATATTTATCTAACAACAATCTACTAACAACAAACATGAATGTTTTTTATTTTTATTTTTTTAGCTTATTTCTATGTTGAATTTTTTGTTTAATAATCCGTTCAGATTTCATTTGATGGGCCGCACTATAATGATGGAATCTGTTATATTAATGCTGTTCTATCATCTGATATAAGAAAAAAATATTTTAAAATCGTTTTTTAATGAAAAATAAAGACAAAAATTAATAGAATTTATTAAAAGATGAAGACATTTTCTTATAAATGTTAAAAAATTTTGGCCTTAAGTTAAATGAAAGCAATAGAAATTATTTTTTGATTTAAAATGAATGAAAAATGTTATATGATATGTGTTGTGTCAATATTATTTAATTTTATTATTATTATATATATTATTATAAACATTTTTATATATATATAAACAGCAATAAAATCGTATAAAAATTTCTGTCCTTTTTATTTTAGGAAACAAGATGTATCAATCATGATTAGTAAGTTATGTTATATTTCTTAATTAAAAAAATTTAATTAATTTTAAATTTTAAATTAATTTTAAAATAATTATTTATATATATAAATAAGTAAATATAATAATAATAATTGTAATAAATAAAGTATTTAATTATAACATTCCATTTGTACTGAATTTCTTAAATGTTTAAACACTTAAAAAATTCGGTTCGGTTCCTGTTCAAAGCCCTGGTTATAACCAGCATTTGTAATTGTAATATACTATCATAGTTTTTTATTTAGAGTTAATTTCTAAACACAAATTATAAGATATTTATAACATTTCATACATTTGTGTTTTGAATTTATAAAACAAAATCGATTTGAGACGAAAAATTTTAAATTTATTTTCTACTGAATTTGTATTTATTTATTAATTATGTTGATGCTAGTTGAGTCAGTGCACTTGAGCAGTTTTACTCCCTATTAACTGTGAGGTTTGTTTAAAACCCCTCTCTATGCCTTGACAGGTTTATTGTTTATCATTTCATCAGACTAACCAATAATTGACTTTAGATCTGCATACCTCCCCAGCTTTCTATTAGCATTGAGATGTTCAACTTTTTCTTAGGGACCTAACGAATAAATGTAGTAAAGAGTGGGGGAAAGTAGCGATCCCTGAGGAACCTCTGCTTCTATAGTTCGGACTGAATTTTTATTTATATTTTTTTTGTACGATATTTATTTTGATCACAGTTTTATTTTCTATTTTTTTTTTTTAAAACTTGCATCCATAATTGCCACATCGAAATTTTTCGAGGCAGTATTTTTTAAGTTTTTGGGCTTAAAATAAGTATAAGTGTTTGTCGCATGTGTTTTTGCATAGATTTTATGTAGATTTTATATTAAAAATGTGACTAAAGCATACACGCTTATCGATATAAACTCGTGAATGATTTAAGTACGATAGTCTAAACATTCTATAAATGAGAAGATTTTATAAATAAATTCAATAAATAATAAAAAACATACATAACACAGTCTTAAGAGTTCCTTATGTTATATGAAACATCAAGAAAAAATTAAAAATGTTTTAATGAAACATATTTTTGACATAAATATTTTACTAATTCTTAAATTTGCAAAGTTTTAACTGAACTTAAGTATTTAAACTGAATTTAATTAAAAAAAAATTTTTTTTTCGATAATATTTAAAATGTAACATATATTGCTTTCAATTATTTTAATTAATAGTAATAGTTCAATGACTGTCATGGATTGTTACATCTTGTTTTTTGTTAATACGTATTTTTATTTTACTAATGTACTTACCACTAATTACATTCTGACTTTAAATAATGTTTCTTTTTAATGATTGTTTTCAGTCGAAATTACGATTTAATTTCATATGCGATTAATTTATATTGTTACGAGCAGAGCATTTTAATGTATATAATTATTTTTTTAATTTCATTGTAATTTAAACATTTTAGTTTATAGATATTAATGCAAAAATTTAAAATTTTTTAATTTATGTGCAAATAAAATTGTTGTCCTAGAATAGTTTGGTATGGTACTTACCTTATATCGAGTGGAAACTTCAGGCACAAAAATTGAACTGAAAAGGTCTTCAAAATTCTTGGCATAGTTGAAGATATTTCATATAAGAGGACAAAACTTTTTATACAACTTTTAGTATATAAATGTACTCGTATATAAAAGATATTGTATGTACAGTAGTAATCATTATAAAAAGTGAAGAAAGTTTCAAAAAGTATTAAGTAAGAAAATTTGCAAATTACAGATTGTGTAGCAAATTGAGTTAAACGTTAGGTATTTGATAGAGAAATTGTGTGAAAAAGTAACTGAAATTTACAAAACAAACTCGAACAATTTTTTTTTTTTCATAAAAGTGAAATAGTTTAAAAATTTTAGTGTGACAGAGCAAATCAATTAAAAATCGGCCAAAACTTTAATAAAAAAATTAACGCTTTCAATTGATTAAATTATAGCATAATTTTCAAACAACTTAAATGCAAAAAACTAATTTTTTATATTTTTCTGCTTTAAATATAATAAATAGAAGAACAAAACTGTAACTAAACTAATTTAAAAATGTTAAATAAATTAAATAAAACAAAATAACTTTTAATATTGTTATTTTGTTCAAAAAATATATGTTAATTTACTTTTTAAACATAATTAAATATATAAAATATTAATATATAAGTATATAACGAACTTCATTAAATACCATAATTCCGTCATTAAATGCATAGCCCATACCTAATATACCTCGATTTGTCATCATCTTCACCACTAATAGCACCTGCTGTAGCATCTGCTTGTTCTCCATCTGCTCCAGCTTCAGCTGCATCACCGCCACTCTTACGTAAACCTGGAATTGATGGTATCGATGGCATTGCTGGCATAGCTGGCATCGAAGGCATAGCCATTGTTGGCATAGCCGGCATTGATGGTATGGAAGCACTGCCCAACCAACCTTTGGCACTACCTAACCAACCACTGTAATGTAAAATAGTATAAAAGAAAGAAAATAATTTAATTAAAAATTTTAATGGACATACAATATATAAAATTTAAAATTGAATTTATAAATAAATATATATATAATAATATAAACATATATACATGTGTATGTCTTGCAATTACTTATAATATGTACCATAAATATTAACATAATATAACAAATAATTTAAAAAATCAGACTAATTGGACTATCTGAACGGAGTGTTAAAAAAGAAAAGTTGCGAAAAACAAAGTGTTAGTTAAAGACTAAAACGTAACTAATTTTTTTCTTTATATATTAAGTTTTTCTTACAAAGTCGGGTGGTTAAATATATACATTTAACTAATGGCAATAATGTATATACCATAGTACTCACGTACAAGAATTATTGGGCGAAGAATCACCATTAACAATAGGTGCTATTATGGGTTCAGTAAACAATTAGGATGTAGAGCTCTCGACATACAAAACTTATGCTTTATAGATCACTCATCCTACCTATGCTTCTGTGTGGTGCAGAAACATGGACATTATCACAGAAGCTACACCAACAGCTACATTTAAATGAATTACGATATACGATTACTTATTATTATATTAATTAATTATTATTATTAATTATTATTATATTGATATAATTTAGTGAAGTAACATCTAATGCTTTCGCTGGTTTCGTTATGTTGTGAGAATGGTTGACGATGCTCTAACGAAAAAGGTATTTGAATTGGCAGTTGAAGGAAGAATGGCCATTTACTATATTTTTGGGTGAACTGTTCTTTTACTTGTCGCGTCAGGTAGAGATTAGAACTTATGCTGTCATTATACAAAATAAAATAAAATACGTAATAGACAGCGAATCTTATATATGAGCCCATTATGCCATATTCAATATTCTCTGAGCTCAAATGTGTGTGTCTTATTTCGTTCTTTATACGATTCACTTGCTCTATAGTTTCATCTTTTTCCCCTAAAACCAAATTGGTGGGAGAGTATTAGATTTGGACCGTCAAGGAATGGTTTCAGATCTAAAAACTATGCTATTTCAAAGAGTTTAGAAGAGTTTTAGCTAAAAATGATTAAAAAATTCTTGATTATGAAACTTCCAATCACATAATTAAAAGTTGTCTATGTATCTTAATAATAATTATGACATTGAGGATTGCAATAATACAAAGTACTACATATCGAATATAAAAGTATATTTACACTTGTGTATAATAAGAATTTTTTATTTGACATCGATTGACAGACAGAAGTTAGCAAAAATCGACAATAAAGACTGATAGAAAAATATAATATGAATGAAATTGACAAAAAGCATAAATTTCAATATTTGATATCATACAGTCACATAGAGCATTGGTAACCAACGAAGTAGAATTACACACATATAACAAAAGAAATAAATAACACCCAGAAACCATGGAGAATAAGGAACCTATACACAATGCATATTAGAAACTTTACAGTTTGATTGATGGTTGTACGCGTATTGAATAGAAATCGATAGAATGGAACAAAATATTTGTAAATAAGATGAATAAGAGGATGCTCTCGCAGTCACTACTACTGCTGCTGCTGTTGCTGCTGCTCGATTGCACTAGTAATATGGTACGATGACATTAAAAGTTATAATTCAAATAAAAAGCTAGAGAGCACATATTGAATAAAAGTAGTATACGAAAAAAAAACCAATAATCCTTTTCGATTGATTAAAGTATGACACTGCCTGCAAAATAGGAGAAACGATATACGAACTTGGTCGATGTGTGTTTGGAATTCGCTTAAAGCCTACAAGTGAACTAAAAGCCTATAAGCGTTAACATGGATTCAAATGCAAGTGCTCATACCAGTATATATGTATGTCACAACATATTCTGTGTAGAGTGCAAAGGAATTACTAACAATGCCACTAACAATCGCATTGCCTTCATCAGCAGTAAAATAAGAAAGGCACGTACTGGGTCGTACAACAATATTTCATCAAATTGATTTGATGATGAAATATGAAAAAATTGCATTCCTGTAGTTAGACTCGTGAAGGATGATATATGTATATGTTTGAACTATTTGATTATGTTTTCAATATAAATACAATTTATACATATATCCGTATCCGTGTTGATGCAAATTGAATAGGCTTTTGATAAATAAGAAAATTTAATTTTCATTTAAATTGAATAAAGGACATTTCCTTAAAATTGAGATGTATCGTATTATTTGATAATTTGCAAGTATATTAATAATTTTTCTTAAGATATTATAGATGATGTAATTATAAAATATTGATTATAGATAAATACAACTATCATTATTATTATTACTATAGCTATACAGTCCATTTAGTACCTTAGCTGTTGTTTCATAACATCTTTCCATTTTGGTCTGTTTTCTGCCTTTGTTTATCATTTTCTGCTATAAAGTACATTTCCTAAATATCTTACTACACACTGTCACCCATTTTTGACTTGGTTCAACTCGTTTTCTTGTTTTTCTAATTTCACCTTTCAATATTCTTTACAGTTACGTTTTTCAGTTCCTTTTTACGTATCCTATACAATCCAAGCATTATTTTTTTTATTGCTGGATAATTGTATAACCTTCTATTAGTAGATTCATTTTATGATTATATCTGATACTAGATATTCCATTTATGTGTACCTGCCCAAATATTTTTCGCATTATCTTTCTTTTATTATTATGTTGAGGTTAGTTGAGTCAGTGCACCTGAACACTTTTACTCTCTATTAACTACGAGGTTTCTTCAAAACCTCTCTTTGCGCCTTGACTGGATTATTGTTTATCACTTCATCAGACTAAGCAATAATTGACCTCAGATCTGCATACCTCTTTTAAATACTGTTAATTTGTTGACCTTAGTATTCAGACTTCATACCCATAGGTATAGGTAGATTCTTAAAAATAGTAGTCATATAAAAAACGATTCTTTTCTTGTTAAATTAATTTAGCGAAAAAAAACGTCAATGTGAAAACTAATATCCTAATGCTGACTTATATATGATCGAATAGCATAGAATATTTTTGAATGTTTTATTTATTATTGTTACAATTAATATTGTAATTGTTCAAAACATAATTACAATATTTTTATAAATACTTTTTGCTTTCTTTTTTAACATCTCGAGTCAAGTAATATTGAAAATAACTCGTGATCAAATAATGTTATTTACTTTATAAGCAAGGAAGCATAAATATAAGCATATTTGCCCATTTAGTAATGCTTATTTAGCAGCGGTGTCAGTGATATATGTCATATAGAACTGTTTGATATTGTAGAAGGTGTGACATTAAATTTCAATTCTACCACAGTCACATAATTACGTTATTTTATTAGATTTGAAAATGTGCCTAAGGGCGATATGTGGGTTTAAGAGGACGGTACCAAAAGCGACACAAATATCCTACTTTAGCTTGGTCGCGCTAAATATTTCCTGGAGATCATGCAATTTGTCACTACCAGAATTTTTTTTTTGGTTTGACAATCATTATACAATCGTAGTTTTTGAACACAAACATCTGTTAACCTAATGCCGAGCTATTGCCACCTGTACCAACAAGTTATGGATTATGGACCGTAAATCTAATCCATCTAGTCTTGTAAGATCTCCCGTAAAGAATATTTGACATTTAAATAATGTTGTATTTAATACCTTATGGCTAGTTCTATACAGTATATAAAAGAACACAAAATATACATATTTTTTTTGTAAAATTTGTAAATTTATTCCTTTTAAAAGCACTCATTTATAAATCCACTATTCACATTATTTAGGACTACTAAATAACAGTGAATATAAAAGTAAATAAAAGTAAGTAAGGTATAAGTAATTTTAATAATTATAATTATTTTAATATATATGTACAGATAAATGAGATGCTTTTACCAGACACTACACCATAGCATCCATGTTTTTTGCTCTATCTGAAATAAAATTTATTACTTCGCAGTGCTTTTAAATTGCATTTCCGTGCACAGAAATTATTTAAATTTTTCCGCACATTTTCCTCCTTAATATAGTTAATGGTTACACTTAATTATATTTTCGCTGTATCTTTTTTCTTTACAATATTATTTATTTGTGCTTTAATTTTCCAGACATTTTATATTACTTTTTATTTATTTTATTTTAACATAATAAGTTTGTTTTATGACTTTTTGCGTATGTTTTGTTTCTAAGTTATGATAGCAATGAAAATCTTAATTTATTACTTAACTTATTACTTGGCAATATTCTAGTCTACAGATATATTTCTTTTAAATATTTTTATATAAAGCAAGTGTTCTTAAAGATAAATAAACAACTTTAATTTTATTAAAAAAACAATAAAGTTTTGTTAAGCCCAACATATTAAGATTAATTCAACTTAATTTAACTTAATAAATAATAATTAATTTTTAATAAAATAAATTCTTATATTTCAAATAACATTAAATAAAGCAAAAAAATATATTTTTTATTATATCAAAAAGAAACTTCATAAATTTTGTAATATTAAATAATTAAAACGATAAAAGATATCGGTTTTTTCTTTTTTTATAAGATAAAGAGATCTCTAATTGCTTTATATAAACCAATAAACTGTTAAGAGATACGTAGTTAGATTTTATATAGAGAACCAATATAACACACTAAAACTATGTTTTCTCCTAAGATACAAAATAAAATAAATAAATTGTTGGAAAGGACTAGAATGTTAAATACTTTTAATGGGAGACATGAATCATGAAACTTAAAGAAGATGGACTTTGCCTATTTTTCTTTGTTTACTTTTACAAATCAGTATCTTAAAAAAATTAGTCTATTTTAACCACATATAAGATCGTTCTAATAGCACAGTGTGAATGACTATGACAATTCTGACAAACAGGGTGGCGGAAATTGGTCTGGTGTAAAAACACAAAAATGCTTAAATGCTTAAATTCACAAAAATGCCCACTACAAAATCTATATAAAGATTTATGTGGTTTCGTTAG